CAACTCCGCCCTTACTTGCGTGTTTTTCCGGTCGCTGGCACCACAGCGTGAAAACTTTAAAATGGACCCAGAAATGTCTCCGTTGTTTTTGTACATTTTAATTCTCGAGGAGCTAGAAAAACCTTATTGTCGTCGCGGCACGTTTTGTACCTTAGGCTCATCAGAGACAATCATATCATGTAAAATAATTTCCTTTAATCTACACGCATTTAGGAATTACTCAGCTAATTACACGGATAATTGAATTATTGCCGGCGTTGTGCCAAAAAGTGTTTGCCTGCCAAAACTGATTTCCAATGTTTCCGTGTGTAATATGTGTAATATCTTTATGTATGTTGGTAAATAGACTTCGGTGAACAGGGTTTACTAATGTTACGATATTACTTCAGGGAACAGACATGACACCGTCTTAGGTTTTAGCCATCACTTTTTTATTATCTCCACACCACCCTCCGGTGGCTTCCACATGAACTGCACCTTAAACAACAACTGTTCACTCATATCATGACATCCCCCTTTTTTTTTTTTTTTTTCAACAACAGGGGCAAACAAAGTAACTCACAACACCACTCAAGGCCCATGACCAGTGGAAAAAAAGAAAGGGAGAAAAAAAATGCTTCTTGGCATACTCACATTTCTCTCTAGTGAACATATTTTTTTTTCTTCCCATTTTTTTTAATTATTTTTTTTTTATATCAAAGCATGTGCTCAAAACATAATGTTCATTTTATTCCTCAATAAGCCTTCTGGGCTTGGAAACAATACGTCCACTCGCAGTTTTGGGTGGGGTACTTGGAAACTCTGTGGGAGTGACATTTTTACTTTGCATATCCATCTCACTTTGTCCCTGTGTTTTACAGCTGGTCAAAGGTAAATAGGTCCACACCTATCTTCTGCCAGGGTCTTTCAGGAACACTATGTGGATGTAGTGGTTCTTTGTTCTGTCGTTTCTGGTGAGTACTGCACACATCACAGCAGTTCACCATCTCTGTGATACTCTGTGACATTCCAGGCCAAAAGAGTACTTCTCTCGCTGAGACATACACACCCATACCTCGCCTAAACATATGAGTGGGACAGACTAACACAGCACAGAGAAACACACATATGTACACGCACAGAGAAGGGGAAAACGACACCAAAAATACATAATAATACACAGGTCCATGACTGCCCAGGGATCCTGGGTTGCCCAGTCCCAGGACCCTGACATTACAGTCACCTATAGATGACGGTGGACGCCCTGTCATGGTTTGGGGCTGCGTTTCAGCCAGAGGTGTTGGAGATCTTGTAAAAATGCAATTATAAATGAGGAAAGTACCGTGCAATTTTAATCCACCTGGGAATGGCAGATTTGATTGGCAGCAGCTTCATTTTTCAATGACAATGATCCCAAACACACTGCCAATAGAATAAAAGCCCACTTGTACAGAAAAGCACATAATGCAACTCTTATCAGTCATGGATTGGCCTCCCTGGAGCCATTATTGGCGCAGTGTGGGATCATCTTGACAGAATAAAACAAAAGGCAGCCAAAGAAAAACTTTAAATGTCCTATGAGAAGTCTGGAGGACTATTGCTGAAGACTGCTTAAATAAATTTTAAGAAAGCTTTGTAAGAGAGTTCAGGCTATGTTGAAGAATAAAGGCGGTCACACCAGTTATTGACTGGGAGGGTTGACCAAGTGGTGGAGGCAGAAATAAATTGTTCAGAAGGTTGACAGTCCAGTCTTTTTATTTTTATTCTTTATTCTGGCACACACTAGTCCTCTAGAGGCTTTGCAACCCCTGATTAAATAGCCAGCAGTTCCTCCCACTCCTTGAAGTAGCAATTAAATACTAATTAATGATTATTATATACTGTATATGTCCATGTGAGTTTGCACATTTTTCAATAAATTGTTGCACAAATTTTCAACTTTCCTATCAATATATAAGGCTTTAGCACAGCCTAGTGTATTGTAATTCCTGGGGCAGATTTTCACCAGTACCTTAAACACAAGTCAATAAAACATCATAAACCTTTTTGTGTATGCGTATTCTTGTATCTTGAGCTAAGTTATCCATGTGCAAAGACGAGCTGTTTGCATAAGTACTGTGAAGAATCTTCATTTCAAACAACACCGAAAGTAGATGAAGCAGAGGCATTAATGAAAGCTTCACGGGTATTAATACCGCAATGTTAACTTGACTAATGGTAAAGCCCATTAGGTAGAGCTGAAGGTGTGAATACAAAACACATTAGGTGTGAATTATGTTATTAACATTTACAATCAAACACTGTCATCATATTCAAACAGCATCTCACTAAGTCCCACAATAATCTGCTCATCAATTCTCCGTGACTTTGCCTGACATTACTTGACGACATAGAATTCAAGTTGACATTTATCAATGCAAAAGGCATCGCAGCCGCCAACTTGGCACAATATGCCTCAACAAATATTAAAATACATGCATTACAATACCAGCCAATTCCTCCCACGTCCACACTGGGCAATAGATTTTTCTATAATTGTACGATCTGACCAGAGAAAATTAGCTAAATTTCTCTGGAAAATAGTTTGAAGGTGAAAGCCAGTGCCCACAGCAGACTGAGACAAGTAAATGGGTATTTTAACCTTCTGTTAATATCAAACTGAATGACTGAAGCTTCTTTTTGCCAACAGACATGCTGTGAGACAATATTCAGACGCTACAATTATCATAATGTTGTCGCAATGAGATGTATGTGACTAGCACTGAAATCCCTCTGTCGTCGGGAAGTTTTGAGCATTTAGCACTAACACAGCAGAACTTAATGCTGATAGAAAAAAAAGTTTTCTTTGTGAACCAGTGATGAATGACTGCTGGAATGGATCTGAATGAGACAAGCAACTTGCCAAGAAGATATTGACCGCTTCTGTCACTGGTCATTTATTTGGACCAATTGATGGGTCAGTTGATAGTAAAAGTTTCCAGATTAGCCGGTGGGTGTTCATAATATAATATTATTAATAAATCAATCCATTTGTCTTTCGTCAAATAAAGCAAAGCTCAGGCAAACTGAGCTGTATTGAGCATTTACTGTCAGTGTTTTCCACATTGTAATATTTGCAGATTATCTCCCTGATTTCAGCACATTTTATGCTCCCCCGTTTTGCTTTGAAAACAAACGAAAACATTAGTGTAATGAAGGGAGCGAAATCTTTGCATCTCACAGGCGTGCACATTCACCACTTCAAGGAACAAGCTTGTGCTGATATGTGTTCTTAATTGGATGTCAGTTCCTTCCTGTTTGTTTCCCTGCACATTCTGGGACTCTAATGGCACCAGTCGACTAGGTCTGCCAGTGAAAAAATAATGATATATCTATTAGAAAATGTACACAGAAAAATGGTTTGAAGTGGTTACAAGCGCAGATCAATTGAATAAGCTTAATTTGTGAATGTGTGCGCCTGGCAATCATTGTGCATTTCTTTGCAGTCGAGTCATGAGGCCGTGGTACAATAAAGGAGAGCTGTGAATCATTAGTGACACTGTGGTTAGGTTAAGGAGACTGTCTATCAAAGTAGACACAGAATGATTAAGACGCTCGAATATGGGCGCCTGGATGTGGGTGGCCACCGAGGTGTGCACGTATATCTGCATTATGATTCACGTTTTAAATGCACGATCCACCCTGACGATAAAGAAGCCACAGTGAGCAGTTATTCTAAGCAATAGCACAATAGAAACAATCATGTGCTTTTTAAAACTGCTCCAAGAAAATGGTGTTGTTGTTTTTTAAATGCAGGAAGGTTTCGGTGCTGTTTTGTTGGGTCATTTTCAGGTCAACACCTCTAAACCTAATAAGGATTCAATGTCTAGCCTTAGGACAATTCATGAGAGTGAACAGCTTTCATATTGGGGTCTATACACCAGAAGTGAAAACGGTAAATATCACGTGTGTTTTAATGTTTTGTAGTTTAGAAATTTCTGATGTTTATTCATAATTAATAATTCATAATTATTCATAATTCACAATTAATCTCTTTAAATCATATCCAACCCCCCTCACTAAAACTTCTGAGCAAAGTAGCCTGGGTCTGGAGTCAGAAGTATTTTAGTCAGCAGTGCTCACTCAGTGATGTTTTTCGGCATCATGTTGCATCACATTTTAACTGATCTTTTAATTGGTTTCTTCGGGGCACTGACCTTTCACTTTCTGATGAATCACGATTCCAGTCAAAAGAGATTGAATGAAAGGTGTCTCAAGCCAATTCAAATTTTCTCACAGCTGTTTAAATAAAGTCACAGGAAAGAAATATAGCAGCCCAAAGGAAATTTGGGAACAGAATTCCAAAATAAAAGCACACATGAAAACTACGTAAAGGACATTGTAAATGTGAGATGACTACGTGGGAATTTTGTTACCATGGAGGCGGAAAGTCGGGCTTGTAAACAAATAAATACGTTAATAAAATAGAGTATTTTGTACAGATGTGCATAGACCTTTATGACAACCCTGAACAAAAGTAAAACTAGCAATGACACCTTGTTAATTAGGCAATCTACTTATTTTTTTTTTAAAATTATGTTCACTTATTAGAATCAAACATATATAATTTGTTTTAATTGATTAGAATATTTTGTTGTTCTGCTAATAAAATGGAGACTGGATGCCATATATATCACATTTAGCATTACACTAAATTAAAGTGATTCTTTTCATAAATGTAATTGAATAAATTAATAGTACTATTACGTCATAAAAACAACATGTTAAATCTGTCTGTGAACTTTGTGTAACTGTAAACAAGTAAACAAACCAAAGATAATATTACCTTGCATCCCACCTCCTTTTTTGTCGCTTGTGTTTTACGTATATTTTGTACTTTTAGATTCGGGGCAACGTGCAGTAAAATTACGCTTGTATTTATAATTCCCTCGATTGACTTTTACTTTACAGGGCTTTACGAAGCCGTGGGACTTTTATTTTGAAACTTTCACGGAAGTTCAATTGGTTGTTGCGTCCGTCTTGAGACCGCTCGAGTCTCCTTCAGGCAGACGCACGCAGCTGGCAGCTGCTTCAGTGCGCGAGACCCAACCATCGAACGGGGAGCTCGCGCTTCTCGCTTCACCTCTGATGGACTTGAGATAAGAGGAGATCAGTCAGCGTCTCTCATTTTTGATGCCCCGGGTGTTAGTAACACAGCAAGACACAAACTGCTCTGATGCTCTCAACTGTTCCTGCGCCCATTTTAATGTGTTTTATGTGTTTGCGCTCAACAGTGAGGTAGACTTTTATCCGGGCACATTTTAGAGTGTCAGCGTGTGATTTATCCCGTGGATGCGGCTGTCGGAATCCATGTAAGCCCTGCAGGATCAGCCTGTCACAGGGCATCATGGTGCATCAGGTTCTTCACAAGTGGATGAGGAATATTTCTCCAGAGATGCTGTTGCTGCTCCTGGTGCCGATACTGTGCTCCTTTCGTCTGTCAGGAGCGGCTCCCTCTCTGACTACCGAGCAGCTGGACATGGGGGTGGTAAGTTTTGAACCTTTTCTAGCTACTTACAGAGAACCGGGCTCGGAAGTTTTTCTGGATGGTGCAGGGAATATGAGGTGGTGTGTTCTTTTTTTTTTTTTTTTTTTTAGCTTTGGTGTGTGAGAGAGCTGGAAGACCCCAACACCCCCCCCCCCCTTTTTTTTTTTTTTTAACTTGGGCTACTCTTGAACGTCCAGCGAAGAGCAAGTGCTGGCCTCTCTAAATACTTGCTCTGAATTTTAACTGCGCTCTGCAGTCCACTCCACAAGGCAGAGTGGCAATAGCACACACACTGCTTGATTAAAAATAAAAATAAATAAAAGACTGTATAGGATTTTTTTTCTCCCGAGGAGGAACCGCTCCATTAAAAGAATGAAGTTGTGATAAATACATGTCTGTGCAGGGGGTTGCTTCGATGTTGTATCGACCTCTTCCAGCTTATAGTGAACGACAATCCACGAAGCATAATTTATTAATGCTTTTTTTCCCTCCCCTCCCAGTAACGCCTTTGAAAGAGTCCAGAGGATTGCTGTGTTTAAAATAGATGATCCAATACTGTAGTCTGGCGTGGCTCAGTAGACTTGAACTAAATGCAATCTCTTAAATAGGCAGCACCATTGGTGGAGGATACAAACAAATCGATCAGAGCTGTGACTGCTTATGAGAATAAATTTAAGACGTTTAATAATAAGCTTCAGTGAGCCTTCATGGGTTTGGAGCTAGAGCAGAGTAAACTAATCATTAATGATTCTGTTACATTATATTTAGGTGTGTGTGTTTGGTATTGGTGATGCATCTTGAAATATACACAGCCTGTAAAGTGGTAACTGGCCTAATGCTGTATGTCATCATCACTACTACTACAGAACAACAGCATGAATGGCATTTACTTAAGACTGCCGTTAAGAAAGAAAAGAGACCTTATGTTTGCAAGCTCATACTGTGTGTTTATAGCCACTATAATGACGGCAGGCATAAAATTACAGTATGCACCATTTACTTTTAAAAAAAAAAGTTTGTAAAAGCTGATTATCATCTTCCTAAAGTAGTCCCCGCTGAAGATGCATTTTTCTCCATATTCCACTCCTTAGGGCAACTTCTTTCATTCTTTCTTTCCTTTTTATTGTTTTTTTTTTTTTGTTTTGCGGCTCATCCCAACTTCAGTCTTCCTGTCTCACTTTCTTTCAGCCCTCAAACTCTTCTCTCTCTATCTAAAAAAAAAAAAAGAAAAACACACAAAAATCCCTACACATGGGATTATTATTTTGCTTAAAGACAAGAACAAGAGAAGAGATGAGTTTAGATTTTTTTTTTTATTCATGTGTTACCTTCTGAGCGCTGCGTCATTCAGTTTTTGATACTCTGTTCTGACACATCTGGCACGGCAGACGATCATATCGAGATGATATGCAGGTCGTAATTGTTGGCACGTATGAGCAACAGAAAGACAATCTGAACACGAAAATTCAAGATATGTAGGTTAAAAACTAGGCGCAGATCTGTAGCACAGAGCCTTTTTTTTTTAAGCTCAATGTCCCCACATATGACATATGAGTGTTTAAGTAGGACATATACACACTTTTTCCTTGCTGCATTCCTATGAGTAATGAAATGATACATAACAGCAAAAATCATCATATCAGATGTTTTCCTCTTGATACCAATATCTCTCTGTCCTCTGTTATTTTTTTGCACAATGCTATCCTCCTTTTTTAATTGTTATTCATTAAAGAATAGGAAAAATAAAAGCAATGTGCTTTTCGGGACCTCTCGCCCAGGCATTTCTTTAGAATTGCATGAACTGTGACACAACAAACAGTCCAGTGTCACCAGATGAAAAGCTGTAGTAACAGCAGCAATTTTCCTCCATTTACTGTGTCACAGAAAGAAATGCTCAAGGTGGAGTTTTTCCTGCATTTCTAGATAGAGCTGTGTGTGAAACACTCAGCCTCTGTGCAGCCTGTAGACTGAAGGGCTTAGCTTTTTGATGTAATAGTTTGGGATGCTTTGCCCAGCTTTCTCTGCCATTAACAGAAGGGTGACACTGCAAAAAACATGCTGCTTGGTAAACCTGAAGCAATTAGTTTAATGGAATGACCGTTTCTTTTATGTTTGAATAGTTTCCAGTTCGATGTGTTGAGGAAACCTTGTTTTGGTTATCAGCCAGGTAAAGTCTTGACTTTTAATTGCAGTCATGTGAAAAAGTTTTCATAGGACGTTCTGCAGTCCTGTGAAAATCATTCAATAGTCAACAGCCACCTTTAGCAGCTATAACTTGAAATAATCTTTTCCTATATGACTTTATTATTCACATCATCGAGGGGAAACTTTGGCCCACTCTTCGTTACAGTTTTACTTCAGTTCGTGAGGTTTTTCTGGCATTCATTTACGGCAACAACTCAAGAGAGGACCTCTCTCGGTCCTGCCACGGCATTTCAGTCAGGTTGAGGTCTTGACTTTGACTGTTACATTACAACACCTTGATTATTTTCTTTTCCAGCCATTCGGTCCTGATTTGGTGGTGTGTGGGGGGGAACATATTCCTGTTGCTTGACTCAAATGTGAGGCCATCTGTCTGGCAGTTAAAGCTTGCCCCAAACTGACTCTAGAACACTTTTGTATACAGAGACTTCATTGCCCACTCAAGGACTGCAAGGTGCCTAGGTCCTGTGCCTGCAAAACAAGGCCAAAGCATCACCCCTCCATGTCTCTACTTGACAGTTGGTATGAGGTGTTCATCCTTAAATTCTGTGTTTGGTTTTCTCCAGACATGGTGCTGTGCATTATTGTCAAACATCTCACCTGTGCGAAGAACATTGATCCAGAAGTGTTGTGGTTTGTTCAGATACAAATTTGCAAACCTAAGCTGTGTTGCCAGAACAGGGCAGGCTTTTCTCCTGGCAACCCTCCCAAATGAGCCATGTTTGTTCTGTCTTTTTCTATTTGTAATGTCATGAACTTTAACATTTAATATGCTAAGTGAGGCCTGTAGAGTCAGAGATGTAGCTTTTGAGTTATTTGCAATTTTCCTGAACATTGCGTAGCAGTATGTTTTTGCTAGGATGTCCACTCCTGGAAAGTCTGGCAACACTCTTAAATGTTTTCCCCTTGTGAATTATCTTTCTCACTGTCGAATGATGGACTTCAGATTGTTTGCAATTGGCCTTATAACCCTTCCCCGACTGACGGGCAGCAACAATTGCTTCACTGAGATAATTGCTGATGTCTTTCCTCCTTGGCATTGTGTTAGCACACAATTGAATGCTCCAGCCCAGCAAACTGCCAAAACTTCTGTATTTATAGAGATGGTCATACTTGCTAATGATCAGTTAATGAAGTGCTTTTGATTAGCAGCACTTGCCTCTACTTACCCTCTTAATTCCTGTGGAGACAGTAGGGGTGTACTTACAGTTCTGTGAAAACCTTCTTTTTCACATGACTCTTGTGGATGTGGGAGTAGATACCTGTCTCCCTGTGTTAGTCTTGTGATGTCTTGACAGTCCAGTGGTGTATCTCAACTGTTGCCAAATTTTATCTGGAATAGGCTCCAGATAGTGGTTGAGAAAATAGACTGATGAAGTTTATACCTATAGCATCTGCTAAAGTCTTGATTGGGATTGAAATATTTTGTTTATATATGTAGTCCAACCTTTGTAGTCCTCAGTGTTTTGGCAATAGAAACCCAGTCTCGCAGATGGTAAAAAAAACAAAACAAGACAACTGCTACCGATTTAAGTCCATTTTCAAAGCAGTTCTGCTTTGTTTTTGTTTGTTTGTTTCGATTTAGTCTGTTTAATTAACTCTGATCACATATGCAGACATGCTGATGTCGATTGAAGTCATTTCTTGGCTTCTTCATGTAGGCTGTACTAAAATTTGTTTGATCACAATGACAGTTTTTATAGTGGTGAGAGCAGCGTCTTTGTAGTTTCTTCTCTTCATTGTGGAAAAAAACATCTATAGACACTTTAAACAACTTTTGCAACATGTTTGCATTGTGATCTTTGAAAATAAGTGTTGTTTCTTCAAAATATGCATACTTCAGTTGGGGTTTTCTAAGGGTATGGCGTAGCCTATTAGTTGTATTGAGATGTGAATTGTCTAGTTTAAGGAAAACATGCATTCCCCTGGACCAAAGCATATTTCTTACTTTGAAAACGGGAGTACCTGAAAAGGAATGTGATGTCCTCTTATGGCCAAACTCAAAAAGCGAAATGTAGAAAATCTCTCTGCCCAAAAAACCACAAAGACATGAAAGTGCCTTTCAAGTTTATATTTTCGAACCCCTCTTGACCAAGGATCTTTGCCTGCAAGTCTGGAACAGATCACATATTTCTTTTTTTTTTTTTTTTTGGTACTAAGAAATAGTTTGAGGACAGAAGAAAAAGTATGTATTCCAGAGAGGCGACATGAATAAGATGTCTTTGGGGAAACTCCTGACGCTCCAGGGAAGAGGTGTCATCCCGCAGTTCTTTTTTTCAGAGGCCTTATGTGACACCCTCCTACTCTAGGGATCTGAGCTAGATAGCAAATTTTAAGTTCATAGTTTAATTTTCCCAGTAAAGTAAGTGATCATATCATTATGAAAATTACCATATGTGAAAGCTTCTAGCTGAAGCTGGAAGCCAGAAGATGATTTTTAATCCTGCAAAGCCCTGTTAGAGGCAAAAGCATGTGTGAATTACGACTTTATAGCACCTTATACTTGATAAAGTAGAAGAATGTGATTTAGACTTTTTGGAAGATTAAAGTTTCCGGCTTTATTCATTGTCAAAAAAGAGAGAATTCTCACATTTGATCTCACACAAAAAAGTAAATGTAAACAGTATAACCTTACTTCATCTTCTAGGTTCATCATGAAAGACAGAGAGTGCTTATCAGTGCAGACAGCTGAGATGAGTATTAGTTGCCCAGTGACTGATTTGTTGTCACTGGGGAGCCAGAGTACACACAGAGGACATTATTCACTGGAAGGACTGTAAACTACAGATATTATCAGA